AAAGCGTGAACTTAATGAGCACATTTGTTGTCTTTGAGCTATTTAGATCTGAACAGCATCTGCGACTAAACGAAAGATCCCTATATTTGTATCAATATGACAATGTTTTCTTGTTATGTCTCATTAGAAATGATATCCTATTATTTTGTACTGGCATGTGTAATCTAAGATTTTGGAGGGAAAAAAATGCTTTTAATTTGTGCTTACTTAAAAAAATATATATATAAAATAAAAATTTACAACAATGTATTTGTCTGTGTGAGAATGTGTACACAGCTTCTATGTGTATCAGTGTGTGAATATATACACATCTTCCATATATATGTATCCGTGTGAGAATGTGTACACAGCTTATATATGTATCGGTGTGAGAATGTCTACACAGCGTCTATATTTATAAGTGTGAGAATTTGTATCCAAATACATTCTCAATAAATACACATTTTTCTCACCACGAGTGTTGCTGTTTAGTTGATCTTTTTTGTATATATGCAATGAGTCTTTCTTTCAGACATTTTTCCCCTGTGCGTGGGGAAGGGGGGGGGCATATCAGATTTTCGGGGAGGGGGGGGGAACAGAAGTACGGGATACACCTGGAAGCAACTAGAAAGGAAAGCACAGGACAGGACCGAGAGGAGTGGACAACTCTTGTAGACGCCTATGCCTCCAGACAGGGTAAAAGCGTAAGTAAGTACGTAAAATGAAACTTGAGCAGCGGTGGAGTCTGGGGAGACTTCTCCCCAGAATATTTTTTTTATTTTTTAAAAATCAAAAGGTGCATATTGGAGTATAGCTGAATACAAAGATTCTATTAGAATTTTCAAGGGTATGGGAAGGCATTATGGTGCCAGTTTTGTACATGAACTGAATTAAATCAAATTGTGGCATGCCCTAGGGTAATCATTTGCCACAATCTTATATTCAGCCCTTTATTATAACATTGATAAGCGTGGCAGAAAGGGTGTAGAAATTGAGGTTGTTGAAGACCGTCTAACAAATTTAAAATGCAGGGGTGTATTTTGGTGCATATTTGAATTTGATGTTTCATCCAGAAAATTTTGAGGAGAAATTTCAAACTTTTGCATAAATGGGACATAATAACAATCAAAGACCACCTTATCACCGCACCAGCAGGACATAAACTTCATTCATTCCAGTTTGGTGCCTTGAGAGTATGAAGTTTCCCTAGCTTAATATCGACTTTTAAGTCCCCAGAAAAGTTTTGATCAATTTAAAATAAAGTAATGCATTTTACAAAATAATTTAATTTTGCAACATTCTTCACTTGGAGGGCAACGGAAGAGATGCTAGTTAAAAAAAAAAAATGTAGGTTTCACTTAACCCAAGAAACATCGTGTGAGCTCAGCAGTCCCTACGACTGCAGTGGGCCTCGGATATTTTAGGGCTTGTGATGTGGATATTTCTTTACTTAACATCTTTCAGTGCAAGGTGGGGGATGAAAAAAACCCAAAAGAGGCTTGAAAAGTCAAGAGACATTTCTGATTGACGTAGTTGTGTCTATAACTTATTTCACAAAAATTGCAAATTGCCACTTAGATACATTTTAAAACATTTTTTGCCAAATCTAAGTAATTTATTTTAAATTGTAAAATAAGGAATAAGAATTTATTCCAAAACAAGTACATAAAAATTGAATTAGCGTGATAATCGAAACGCTAGTTCATCACCTTTATGTTAGCTTTCTAACAGATTCTCATATTGAAAAAATTGAATATTTAAAAAAAATTCTTTCGAACTGATGGGGCAGTTTGTTTATTATTCTATTATTAAAAAGATAAAAGCTGGTGGAAATTTAATAAATATTGGCTACATATGTTTTTTTAAACTTCTGTTATTCACACAACTTTGTTACAAACGTAGCGCGTTTAACGAAGGCATAAATTTTCAATAAAATAATTAATGATATGTGCACTATTTGTATGCGCCCGTTAAAAAATTAATTTTTAAAAATTCCTCATTTTTGAAGTTTCCATTTTATATAACTGAAGGTTCATGAAATGTATTTATTTATTTATTTAGGCATTTTTTATATAGCGATTACCTTAAAGCTCTAAGCGCTTACAATTATTAAAAACATGTAAACTAAGTAAAATAAAAATGAAAAACCAGAGACACTAGAATAGTAACTACCATACTATAGAAACAATTAAAATGGCTATAAAACGAGTGCACTTTGGCAAATCTGGTACATTCATAATTAAGCTAATAAAAATATTTTCAAAACCTAATATCATCATACTATTTATAATTGACACCTATCCTACTTTAAAGGTAATGTATTTATAATGAAATATAACTTGACCATAGATTACGTATGTTTTATACTTGGCAAGAACTATTATTAGAATTGGTGTCCTTTACTTTAATGTAAAGATACTTTAGTACTGTCTTATTAAAGTCTTAAAAGTTTTGAATTTGCACTTAAATAAATGAATAAAAATATCGATGTGGACCAACAACGTGAAATAAGACTTCGGCCAATAATAATAAGAGGCCAGTACGATATTTATAATCTGTTAGCCTTTAACAAGATTAGCCTTAAGTATACAGATCATCAAATATATCGAGCGTAGCGATTATTTAATAGATTCAACTAATTGTAATCGTATAGAGGCACCAGTTACTTTTAAAAAATGACAATTAAGTCGATATTAATGTTAAAAATATATAATCGTTCTATTGTTTTTACCCATTTTGCTCAAGGGGGCAGTGCCGATCCGCCCCCCCCCCCCGAGAGATGCCTCAAAGAAACCCTGTATATGCAGCGTCTATGTATCATTTAGGTCACTGACGTATTTTCTCTCTCATATGACATCTTGGTATTATTTTGCTATATTCATTCTACCGATCCTTCAATTTCATGACTGATACAAGGTCTGGCTTACCCCTGGTCAAGGAAAGACTATTGACATGATACTTTTCACAACGTTCAGACGTCAGGTTTAATGAACACTCAACACAAAGTTATCATGTAGGCCTAATGATCAAATCTATCGTACGCACCGCGCACAGGAAAACCGTTCATTTGTGCGCACCAATAAACACTTACATGAAACGTTCATGACCGACCTAAACATACTTGACTTAAAATAACTCATGTTTAAAGATGCTTATTCTGCAACATATCCTTGTAGTTTAAATCAAGCCAGCGATTTCACATAAAATATATTATGTACAAATATAGTAACTGTTTTGTTGATTATTGCCATCAAAAAAAAAACGCATTTGGCTATTGAGGAGGAAATGAACTTGATAATACCATTATAAAACAAAAACGAAAGTCTATTTTAATAACAAATGAAATATCAACAATAAATTAGAAAAGTAATTTATTGTATTTTTTTGTCCAGTCCACACGTAAATCTTAAATTTGTTATCATAAAAATTCAACACTGCTTTAGAGAGAAAAAAATTCTTCATTTCAAGCTTTTAATAAAGAAATAAATTAAGATGTATAAAAAAAACTTTCAAAAGTTTGCATTGTAAAATTTAATTACTCAACTTAATTTATATATATATATACCAGATTTCTATAGACCAATCCTGAACATATCATTTCATGTGATTGTTTTTCATGTTTATAATAAATGGCTATAATGACTTGGTCGTGTCAAAGGTTAAAATAAATACATATAAATGCAAAGTATCGTTTTTTTTAACGGCTTATACAATAAGCAATTGAAAGTTTGTTAAAAATACTTCAAACATTGTAAAATTAAATTTTAATTATCACAGAGTATGCGTAGTGTACGTAATGTGCATTCTTGGTCTTTTTATATGTTCTACATTCAAGTATTGAGTCCTGGAGTGAACCCATGGTGATTTAAACAAATTAGCTGAGAAAAAATCAAATGCATATAATTCTTTATGTACCAATGTCCGTCACTAACTTAAAGTTTGAATAGCGCGCTAAACAAAATGACCCACACGTGGGCTAAATGAAGTTCTCAATATAATAAACCCCTTAACACAAAGTAATTGGTGTAGTAAACCTGCGGTGGAAAGGGGGTGGGACATTAGAATATTATGGGAGTTCTGGGGCGGTTTCATACCGGGGAGTGGGTAGCACTAAGTGGGAATCTTATAAAGTGCATTATTTGAGGGCATGTTTTGTCAAGTAGCTTTACAAGATGGGATGTTCACGCATCTCAGCTGCCATTGTTTGACGGACTATAGCTTATAAATACACATTTGCCTCGTGCGTCGGTGGAAATTTGAGGAGAGTTCCCAAACCTCTCCCCCACCCCCACCCCAAGGACTGGACCCTTGTTAGGGCAAACGATGAACATTAAGTCCACCTTCGCACAGCTTAATTTTAGAATTCTTCTTCTACCCGCTCCTACCCGGGGCATCAGTGCATTGCTGGAAGTTTATGTGTGCAAATCGCCAGGCCTCATGTAGGTTGACGCAGTGGAACTTTAGTGTGTCTTACTTAACCAGGCAACCAGTACTTGGCCCAATACTTGGCCCATAAACAGTCTGATGTGGATGCCACCAAGTAATTTTTCCTTGTCCCGAGTGTTGTAAGTTCTCGTTTTACCAGCTGCTTGCTTGTCTTAAACTTCTCATCTCGGAGGTGAAGAGTTTTCTCTTGAGACATTTATTCAGAGCTCATATCTTACAATGGTAAAACGGGTCTCATTTTGTTATTTACCAGTAACAATCCATTTATTACAAATACTCTAATTTTTCTTTCATATTTACACTTGTGAAAATCAAAATTTGTCAGATAAACGTACAATATAAAAAAAAAAAAATTTCGTAGAAAAATTCGCTCGCATATTTTGGAAATGATTAAAACATCAAATAACAACTTTACATTTTTATATTCTAAATAAATGGTCATAATTATACAAAATTCCGTTTCAAGTAAATTCCTCTTAGCTAAATTCATTTTGTTATTTACCAGTAACAATCCATTTATTACAAATACTCTAATTTTTCTTTCATATTTACACTTGTGAAAATCAAAATTTGTAAGATAAACGTACAATATAAAAAAAAAAAAATTTCGTAGAAAAATTCGCTCGCATATTGTGGAAATGATTAAAGCATCAAATGACAACTTTACATTTTTATATTCTAAATAAATGGTCATAATTATACAAAATTCCGTTTCAAGTAGATTCCTCTTAGCTAAAACGGTACAAAAAATTTATAAATCTATCAAGAGTATTTAACAATAATTCAATTCCATTTTATGTTCCATTTAACACATTACTGCACGCAACAGTTTTTCTTGCTTCTCGTGCGCCCTGCGACTCCTGACGCAACATTCAACTTGTCCGACACGCACGGCTGAACTTCCTCAACAATTTCGACAAAAACATCAAAGGCGTCTCCCGTGCCAGCGTTCAGCAGCTTCTGCAGCAGGACGTGCGATTTCCTCTTCGATGAACTGGGCGCAAGGACATCGCGTTTGTCGTCTGAGTCAAATATCCCCTCCGCACACAGGTGTTCCACGACGGCTGTGGCATCCAGTTCATTTTTCAGGTAATGGTAATGTTTGAGTATCAGAGCGGCCTCCTCCGGTGGGAGGGGTTCTTTCCTGCCTCTCACTGAAGTGACGTCTGGTAAAATTTGGGAATTTAAAATAAATATATATATATATAATTAAAATTTAAAAACTCAAGTTCCCCCACCCCACAATAAATGGATATAAAGCAAATGGATATAAAACAAATGGATACAAAACAAATGGATATAAAAGAAATGGATACATAACAAGTTGATACATAACAAATGGATATATAACTAATAGGTGTTTAACAAATCGATGGATAACAAATAAATGAATACATAACAAATGAATAAATAACAATTTGAATACATAACAAATGAATAAATAACAATTGTAGATATCACAAATGGATATTTAACTAATGGATACATAACAAATGGATGTTTAGAAAATGGATACATAACAGTTTAATACATAACAAATGGATACATAACAAATGGATATATAACAAATGGATATATAACAAATGCAAGCGATAAAAAATGTCAATACTTTCAAACAAACTCATCCAATTACATCAAATCTTTTTACACCTAGGCAGTTTAAGACTGATCTGTTAAATTTTATAACGTAAGTCATTGTGTGGAATATGACGTATCCATTAAATGGTTTGGTTTTTTTAATGGATGGAAAGAAAAAAAAAACAGTCTTCCGATCGTTTTAAGCTGACATTGTAAATACCAAAACGATACCTCTTTTAGTTTCCGAGCCAATCTTGCTGGCGGCGGCAACGGGTGGTTCGTTTGATGCGGTAATCGAACTGTTGTTGATGGCACAGTACTGCGTACTCGGTATCGTCACATTGTGAACAGTGGCATCGTAGTGAATATTTCTGGTACGTTATTTAAAAAAAAAAAAAATAATAATAATAATTCTGTTTCGCTAATATGTCGTGAGATCACGTTAATCTTATGCCCATAGCTGATATTACCTTGAGGATAGTGAATATTTCCAATAACTTCACGTTTTCTTCATAATTTAAAATTTTAATAGCAAGGTTTAATTGATAGTTATTTTTTTAAAGGTTTTTTCCCCTAATTTTATTTTTACAATGAATTTGTTGTTGTTTTTGTACTTATTGACCTTTTAAAAGAAAAATACGTATCAAACCTAATAATGATCAAAGAAAAAAGGGACGAATTCTTCAATTTAACACGTGAAATAACCCCACTCCTTTTTCCCTTTTCCCCAAAAAATAGAATTAATAAATACAACTTAAGTAGTTAAAACATAAGTATCTATAACACGAATAAGGTTCTTATCAGAAAATACGATAAAACTATGAAAAAAGTCATAAAGTCGCTCACAAATGCAGAGGTGTGTCTGGTTTGGAGGCGTTCACTGGTGAACTGCTACCAACAGCACTGATGATGTCGGCCAACCACTTTGGAATTGGCTCATCTTGTTTCGGACTGTCAAAAAGATCGACATGGAGCATACACGAATTAAATAAAAAAAATGCTTGTATATTTAATACAGAATATTTTCTCAAAGTTTTTACTATATTCATCACGCCGTACCGCATGACACTAATGTTGTTGTTTTTTTTCTCTAAAAACCCCAAAGCAAACCATCATTTTAGGCTCTTCCGCGAAGAGCTCACTGTTTTGTATGACACGTTTTCCCCGTGCGTGAGCTTTGCTTGACCCCTAGCACACGCTACGTTCATAGATGGGCGTGGCCTATTCGTTTGGTGTGTCGTGTTAACCACCGACTTCCAATTAAACATGGTTAGTATGTCTAATAGTATTCTATGGAACGCTCTCGATTATATTAGAAAAGTAAGGGCGTTTCTAGACGCATCGGTAGACCCACATATATAAGGGATTGACAGGCACAAAGAGGGACGGAGATTGATAGATATTTTTAACTTCACGAGACGTGTATTATTCTTTGTGTGCTCATGCGTGTTTATTCGCATTCTTCATTCATCATTATTAATTGGCACATTGTACTAATTGTGTACCGGTACAAGATTTTCCCATACTCTGTAAGTTGATGATTTGTAATTATATTTCTTTTGTTTTGTAAATGTATTATTACTAAATGAAATCTTACTAATTGTAATTGGCAACTGTTTTGGGTGTCGTATTTTTGTCATTGTATTTCTCTATGGTATCGTCCTGCGTTAGGCACTGTTTAAACGAGCAATAAAATTAAAATAGAAGATTAATTTTTTACCAAAGAAGCCAGTGCGTAACACTCATCAATGTCTGCCACAACAAGATCGAGCTTGTAAAAGAATCTTCTCAGCCGTCATATGAAAATGTCGAACATTTCGACAATTTTTTTCTTCTAAACGGGAAATAATTTAAAAAACAGAGAGAAAAAAAGAGAGAGATTCTTTACCTTGTTATTGGTGTCTCAGTCGTTGAAAGGGCTGATGTGTCCATCGGTGTTGGTGAGGATTGGTCATTTCCTGAGTCACCTGATTCAAAATATGCAGGTTTGAAAAATATTAATAAAAATAACAATTCTCTGATATTTAACATTGTGTGCTAACTTATTTTTAAAAAAAAATCATGTTCAGTCTGTTTGTTAATTATTTGTTTAGATGACGTTTTATTGTAATATGATGAACAAATTTTTGGTTTCATGAAATTAATGTAGAATCTTGCGATTGTTGGCCAAAGGCTGTGTTAAAAAAGTTTTTTTTACAGAGAAGTCTTTTTTAAATCTTTTTTTTATGTCACAATAGGATAATTGTTGTTGTTTTATTTAAAGCCTACAAATGTTTTATATTGCAAGCATATATATTATTAGCTATTATTGTGTACTGCTTCTAGAAGAAATTAAAAGAATAATTTCACAATGACTTCTTAAAAGGCGAATCAAATTACTTTTACAAACATTTTTTTTTTCAATTCAAATAGGATGATGTTTTTGTTTTTTTTCAGATTTGCCACAATAACCAACAATTATAGTTATACATACACATGTTATTAAATTTAAAAAAAAAAATTAAAATACCTTGTGTCTCCTTAAAATAACAATGCGACGAAAAGAGCCTGTATAATATCTATTTTCTTTTCAACTCTACACACCATTAGCGTACCTCTAGAAACAACTACTTGAACCGATTTTCTTTAAGAAGCTAGTCTCTTGCTGGGCATATGTCTATGTTTTATTTAACAAAAAAAAATTAAAAAAAAAATACTTATGTATGATTCGAACCTCTGATGGTGTTTTCTGGAAGAAACACCCTGTTGTCCATCAGGTAAGCGCTTAGAGACAAAGGGTCAACCCTCGTGACATCGTTGCGTCTCCCTTGAATATGTGCCAGCTTTGAATGTTGGAGGCATTCAACCGGCGACTCGCCCATCGTCAAGTAATCCACACTTCCTATCCTAATGTTTGATTTTATGGAAGACAATGGCTGTGTCCGTTTTCCTGTAGGATGAAATGCAGATAGGTTCATCGATTATGTAATTATTATTTCAACCCTAATATATACGGTATAAGTATAAGTAATAAAAATATTTTATTGATCAAAACACAAGGACATTTTTCTTTATCAAATTGATTATTTTTTTCTTGAAAATATTTAATTAAAAACATTAAAAAAAACAGAAAATAACCATTCTGATTGCGGCAGCGATTTAAAACCTGGACAATGTATTGTCAGTCGGTATATAAGTAGTATCAGAAATACTATCACATGCATTAGGGCGAATGGATCATATGCAGTTTGTTAAAATTATTTAAGTACACTACGTTTCCAACTAAATTCGGTTTCAATTTTTTTGCATCTGCTTTAGATGTAATTAAACATCCCATAAAAAACAAAGTTTTTCCTAAAAATCCTTTATATTTATTTTTAAACGAATATTCATTGATCCACCCACTTTTACACCCCAGTTTTATTTCATCAACTGTTTCAGAAAAAAACAAAAGAAAATATTTTTAAGCACCAAAGGAAATTGGGATATATTTTTTTTAAGAATGCCATTTAGCGCAGTTATCGAGAATTGTATTTCCTGACATTAGTGTCATCATATTTCTTCCATCTCTCCCTTGAAAAACTGATTTTTAGGGGTCGGGGATGGTAATGAAAATTTGACAGAATCTGCTGTCACCACAAACAAGCCTTTCTGCCAAGTTTCAGCTCGATAATTTGACGGGAAATGGGTCAAGGAGCCTTCTGAAAATTTTTCCCTAAACACACTAAAGCGAAGCCAATATAATATATTTTTTTTTAAATGTTACATCAACCAGATACCGACGTTCATTTTCGGTTTGAAGGATCCAAACAATTCCATTATGAAACATCGTGGTGTTATGCGTATTATAAGAAAAGAAGACAAGAAAAAGTTTAGTATTAAATAAAAATCCCTTCGTGAATATTTTGAGGAAATAACGACATGAGAATCCGCATAAGGGTACACCTTACTCACAGTGGCGACATTTCGGTATTTTTCATGGGGGGGGGGGGTAGGCATGGGGGAAGGGTCATCCTTGAATTTGGCCCGCTTGCTGATTTGTTTATTACTGGGGGCACCATAGTACATAGCAATTTAAAAAAACAAACAACTGTTAATGGGGGGNAGAGTTAAATGGCGGGGGGGGTGCAGATGCCCTCTGCCCTACCAAAATGACGTCCCTGTTTGCTTCTAGTTGATGGCTTCAGTAGCATCACATATCTTGCCTCTCCTCTATAATTATTTTTCCAGCAAAAATATATACACATGTTTTAATCAGAAATATGTGCAATTATTATGGTGTTAATTAAAATAGTAAAATATGTTAACACCTGTTGGATTTCCTGTTTCTTTTTTATGAACTGAGACAAAGTCTTCTCTGGTATCGATGGGCGAAGGTGGGACGTAGCTGCAATGGGACTTTCCTCTTGTTGACAGCGCCTTTGTCTCAGCAATCTGGTGATTGGACGAGCCGAGGAGTACTGAGGAATTCAGAAGCTCCAACTCTGAATGATGTTCCGACATTGTTACAAAGTCGGACATCAATCTGATTTCAGAATCTGAAAAAAAATTTTTTAAAAAAATATTCGCGTTAGAAAGGAACAAAATGAAATGTTGGCAAAGCTTTTTTCTTCGAATGTAGATCACAAAAATACATGCACAATAGGAGTGATGTTACACATTGGCTGTTGATGCTATTTAAAACTTAGAGGCATTAAAGGTTACTTTAATTTGCAAGGAATGTCTGAACAAGTATTGTTAACGTTATTGGTTTATGTTTCATCCGGTAGATTCGAGAGAGTATAAAGATAAAAAAAAAAGATATTTCAAGTGAGTCGATCAAGACAATTATTTCGTAGCAAGGTTTAATGCCGCCTGGGGAAGATTTTTTTAGCTCCGCTTCCACGAAAAATTACTTCAGTGAACCGAATTTGAAAATCCTTAAAAATAAAAGAAAAATGGTGCCTCCCTCGAGCGAAGAGAATGTTCCGCCCCTTTGTACGCCACTGACCTAATGTAAACTATTTATTCCAACACATAACAATTAGCGTCTTGTATCACTTATTTTTGGGCAACTCAATCTATTTTTATGATAGATGGATTGCTTTAAGTACCCCAACCAAAGTTTTTCGTATACATCCTTTATAAATTGTAACATCGAGCCATTGGGGGTGGGGGGGGGGTTGAAATTTTTAATAAACATGCATACAAGTATCTCAATTTGAAAGAATCCCAATTAGTGATCCACTCTTCCCAAGTCTCTCAATCATTCTTTTGTTTTCCACTTAAATTGTAACATCGAGCCATTGGGGGTGGGGGGGGGGCTGAAATTTTTAATAAACATGCATACAAGTATCTCAATTTATAAGAATCCCAATTAGTGCTCCACCCTTCCCAAGTCTCTCAATCATTCTTTTGTTTTCCACGCCCCTGAACTTTAATAATATTCCAATGACCCACCTGCTTCTACATCGCAGATTTATTTCAACAACTTTTTCAGAAAAGCAAAAGGAAGTATTACGCACCAAACGCAATTGCGATATATTTTTTTTTAAAGAATCCCATTAGGCGCAGTTGTAGGGAATATTCCTTCATGTTTTCCTTGAAAAACAGTAAAAACTGATTTTTGGGGTTGGCTGTGGTGGGTGAAGCTGAAACTTGCAAAGAATGTGCTGTCATTGGCATCAAGTCTGTGTGCCAAGTTTCAGCTCGATTAGTCGACAGGAAGTCGGTCAATTAGCCGTCGGAAGATCTTGCATCCCAGCAAGCCACAAATAAAAGCAAAGTTAATATGTAGGATCTAAAAAGTTAAGACCTACACGACTATGTAGTATACATTTTTTTAAAAAACGACTTATTTTATCGTTAGTTTCATTTCAAACCAATTTTAGAAAACTAAAAATTGTGTTTTTAAACATCTATTTGGAGATTGTTGTCCTTCCATTTTGACAATATTAGGGGCTAACCATAAGTGAGTCAGCCTTGGGGGAGTGAGGTCTAAGAGAGTGTGAATTTTTGTGAAATGTGGCTGTGTGGGGGGGGGGGTAAAATATCATATATGACGTAACATGATTTTTTTATCATACATATAAACAATGAAATTAACAGTGATGTGAAAACATTCTGTTTGGATGGATGTATTCTGACGGAAGATGTCACGTTGATGAATTTAATAGATAATGGTGTTTTTAGGTTACAATTTTATTCTTGTTCAGTCTGCATAAATTTAACACAAATAAAGGCCAAATGGACATAGGGATGAGTCACCAACCTTCTGCATACTTACTATCATCAATATGAGTTTCCAGAACATTTTCACTGCGGGTAGGGTCAGGTGACTCTTCCACACACAACTTTAGTGAAGTGTCTTCTCTTGGATCAACTGCTGCGCTCTCCAAGCTAGAACTGGTGAGGACTTCATTATTCTTGATTGAGGTTTTTGCAACAATGTTTTCTAAATCTTCCTTTTGACCATTTCTTGCCGTGTTCCTGCTGAGTTGAGTGTTATTTTCTTCTTTGTCGTTCCCCTTAAGTTTGGGCTCATCAAATCTATCTTTAGGGATGATTCGTGAATTTTCTCTAGATGCATGTACGCTAAAAACTGGATTCTTTACGTGCTGCTCATCTTTTTGGTGGGTCATCGGAAAACTCCGAAAACGGCTTACCGAGGCTTGCATATGTTGGTGGTCACTCATTGATTCCTGCGCATTTAAGCTGGTTTGGAACAGGAACCCATCTTTCTTGATAATAATCTGAGGCTTGGGCTTGACGGTCTGTAGTTGAGCGGAGTCCTTGTTACGGATTTCTTGAATATATAAATATATATATATTTATTTAAATTAATTAATTTACATATAATATATGTATGTATATACCCACAAATATATATTAATATAAAATACCCACACTTGTGGTCAAATAATTAAAATCGGTATCTTAAAATATGGTGGTTAGTGGTGATTTTACCCAAAACTATATCGAAAACCGTAACAACAAAAAGCTGAATTCTTGAGGCAAATAATTCTTATTTTAAAGATTTGAATCCTATGTTTTCGTGATGGGTAGAAAACCATTTTGCCAATTTTTAACAACTGTTGCCAGAATTACCTATTAGAGAAAATTACTCAAATAAAATTTAAAATTTTGAATTTACATGTTAAGACACGTGAAGACCTTTTTTCTGATTACAAAAAATCTAAGAATTAGATTAGAATAATAATTCAGCTACCTATGGTCTCCTTTCTTTAGTTTTGATGGATGAAAGTAATGCTTAATAATAATAATAATGATAATAAAAATAGTAATAATAATAAAGCTTATTTCAATCCACTTCATACCTAATTAAGGCTTGAGGCGCAATAAAATACAAAACGCAACAATACAAAATCTACATACAAGCCAGTTGACAATACAAGGTAATGAACATCGAGGAATATGAGCAAGCTCCTTGGAAGCAAGGAGGTAGACTACATCACCTCAGCAGGTAGTGCGGTAAAGATGTGTTTTCAACTCAGTTTTGAAAGAATGCAGTGTCTGGCTGTTCTGAGAGCGACAGCAAGGCCTTCCAGATTCTTGGGCCATCAAAAGTGAAAGTGCGCCATCCGTAGGTCTCAAGGTGGACACGCGGTATTCAGAGTTAGCCACTATCACATGAACAGAGCGATCTAGTGGGTACATAAGGCGTCTTGAGCGCTTTGAGATAGGACGGCGCCAGGTCACGCAAGCAGCGGAAGCACCGAGTTGCAGTTTTGTACTCGATGCGACAACGGACCGGCGGCCAATGCAGCTCTCTCGGAAGTGTTTTGACGTCGTCAAATTTGCGTTTGCGCAGAACAATGCGAGCCGAATTATTCTGTGCTTCTTGAATTCTATCCAGAAGACCCACCATGCGAGCATTGCAGTATTTCATGCGTGATAGCACGAATGCAGACATCAGCCTCTTTGATGCAACACATGTTACAAGAGGCCTGACATGACTAATTCTGCGCAGCGCTAGAAAAATCGCATTACAAAACATGTTAATGTATATTTCCATCCGTAATGAAAGATTACAAATAAACAACATAGCGCAGCTACCTACAAAATAACATACAATAAACAGGATAATTACTTTTTTACACAAATTATTATTTCTTTACTATCCAAATCCACACCACCACAGTGAGTAACTGGACGCAATATATACGAACCTTCAAAGTGCAGATTCGTGCTGACGCATGTATTGCCTTCTGCACGCGTTGGTTCAATCACCAATCCGATGGATGAGTTTTCTTCTGCACTCGTTGGTTCTATCACCAAGCCGATGGATGAGTTTTTGTCTGCACTCTTTGGTTCAATCACCAAGCCGATGGATGAGTTTTCTTCTGCACTCTTTGGTTCAATCACCAAGCCGATGGATGAGTTTTCTTCTGCACTTGTTGGTTCAATCACCAAGCCGATGGATGAGTTTTCTTCTGCACTTGTTGGTTCAATCACCAAGCCGACGGATGAGTTTTCTTCTGCAATCGTTGGTTCAATCACCAAGCCGATGGATGAGTTTTCTTCTGCACTTGTTGGTTCAATCACCAAGCCGACGGATGAGTTTTCTTCTGCAATCGTTGGTTCAATCACCAAGCCGATGGATGAGTTTTCTTCTGCACTCTTTGGTTCAATCACCAAGCCGATGGATGAGTTTTCTTCTGCACTCTTTGGTTCAATCACCAAGCCGACGGATGAGTTTTCTTCTGCACTCTTTGGTTCAATCAGCAAGCCGATGGATGAGTTTTCTTCTGCACTCGTTGGTTCAATCACCAAGCCGATGGATGAGTTTTCTTCTGCACTTGTTGGTTCAATCACCAAGCCGACGGATGAGTTTTCTTCTGCAATCGTTGGTTCAATCACCAAGCCGACGGATGAGTTTTCTTCTGCACTTGTTGGTTCAATCACCAAGCCGACGGATGATTTTTCTTTTGCACTCTTTGATTCAATCACCAAGCCGATGGATGAGTTTTCTTCTGCACTTGTTGGTTCAATCACCAAGCCGACGGATGAGTTTTCTTCTGCAATCGTTGGTTCAATCACCAAGCCGATGGATGAGTTTTTGCTAGTCGGATCAATCGACCCATTCGATTCGGAAGGAAATATAGATTCCTGCTTTATAGAAACCCCGCTTTTGTGATCTTGATTTATAGAAGTAATGTCTTTGTAATTTAACTTTAAAGAAACAGTTTCATTGGTATCCTGATTTAAAGAAACAGTTTCATTGGTATCCTGATTTAAAGAAACGGTTTCATTGGTATCCTGATTTAAAGAAACAGTTTCATTGGCATCCCGATTTAAAGAAACAGTTTCATTGGTAACCCGATTTAAAGAAACAGTTTCATTGGTATCCGGATTTAAAGAAACAGTTTCATTGGTATCCCGATTTAAAGAAACAGTTTCATTGGTATTCCGATTTAAAGAAACAGTTTCATTGGTATTCCGATTTAAAGAAACAGTTTCATTGGTATTCCGATTTAAAGAAACAGTTTCATTGGTATCCCGATTTAAAGAAACAGTTTCATTGGTATTCCGATTTAAAGAAACAGTTTCATTGGTATCCCGATTTAAAAAAACAGTTTCATTGGTATTCATATTTGAAGAAGCGGTATCACTGACGTCCTGCTTTGTAGAAACAATGTCTTTGCCATCAAGCTTTATAGAAAAAGCATCTTTTTCACAACTTTTTATGGAAACAAAATGTTTGACCTCCTGCTTTACAAAGAGATTGTCTGTCTGATTTTGCTTAGTAGAAATATTATCATTAACTTCCTGCTCTATAGAAAAGGTATCTTTGACACCCATTTCCGTAAAAATGCCTAGGTTATCGTCTTGCATATTTTCCACGTTTTTATCTCCAACGCTGTGATTGGAGCTATTCTGTGTTTCAGCGTCACTATGTGATTTTGCTTTGAATTGTTGATTCCTCTCCAGAGCTAAATGACCAGATCTGTGTGTAAAGTTTATTTGATGTCTAGCGTTTGTAAACCCGGTCCCGGTAGCGGACAATGCCCCGAGTGTGTCTCCCAAGCCCGGTGAGTGTACGTTGGCTTCCAGGAGTTCATGTCCACCCATGAGCTTGAAAAGATTCACATCACCCGATTGGTTGTCCTTGTAGTGTAGAGTGCTGGAGACGGGCTCCGCGAATTGAGGGCTCCCACTTACAATACTTAAACTGCGTGGTGATTTTCTAGCTTTTGAATTCCTAAAAATAGGCTCGGCATCTGGACAAAGTCGTTGCTCAATTGTGTTAGTCACTTCATCGGTTAACTTAGAATATGAACCTGGTAATTCTGATTTATGACTGATGTTCTCAACTGTTTTTAATTGTTTCTTTTCTAAATCCGAATTAACGTCGTCGGTGCTTCGAGAATGAAAGCTTCCACCGTTTCCAGGATCTGTAAAATCATCAACAGAGGGATTGTTCTCTTTTCTTTGCTTCGTCTTATACAGTTTCAGCACACCCAATAGCTCTTCGTGATCACGTTCCCACGCGAGGACTAGAGGGGTCAAACTGATTTTGTTTTGGTGGTTCATATTGGCGTTGTGTTCCAACAACAACCGGGCCAGATTCAAATCGTTCCGTTTCGTGGCGATGGTCAGTGCGGTGTCACCGCTGTCGTCCTCGCTGTCGTCCTCGCTGTTGACGTCTGCCTGATGCTGAAGCAGAATCTTCGCAACCGCAAGGTGACCAGACGTTGCGGCCGTCAAGAGCGGGTCCAGACCATCATTGCCCCTATGGTTAAGCTTCGCTCCTCTGTTTAAAAGCAATTCAACGATTTCCTCATGCCCCTGTCTGCATGCTAACATTAATGCACTCTCACCGTTGTCATTTGAAATATTTATATAATTCTTAGAATTGGGAGTCACGTGAACGTTCTTGGAATTAAAAACAGACGAATCGACGCTTATATGTTCACCTCCATTTATGCCACACAGACATTCTGCAATGTTAATAAGACCATACTCAGATGCTATCATTAATGGGCTGTAACCTTCGTTGTTTACCATGTCCACAGCTGCTCCCTGCTGAAGCAGAAATTGAAGCATGCGTACATGATTATTTTGTGAGGCTAACATCGCAGCAGTCCACCCGTGCTGGTTCGCGTGGTTTACATCAGCCTCGAACTGCAAGAGGAGCTCCACAATTTCTGCGTGTCCTTTGTACGTTGCCATAAGCAAGGCGCTATCGTTTGACTCATTCGACTTATTAACTTCTGCCCCCTTCTTCAGAAGCTCCGACACTATTTCTAAATACCCACCATGCGATGCCATCATTAAGGCGTTCCAGCCGTGACTGTTGACGGCGTCAATCATGACGTCGTCTCTACTGAGAAGCAGTTGAACAGCTTTAAGGTTTCCAGCCTTGCACGCCGTCATCAAAACACTCGTTTTGTTTTTACTTGTGATATTCACATCAATGCCGAACTCCAACAGCATTTTAAAAATGTTCGCTTTGCCTTGATCCCTACTCGTTTGCATTAACAGTTCATTATTGTCCCCATCGAATGTTAACAAATATTCCACTTCTTCGTCTTCGGCCAAATGTGCCAGTTCTAAGGCCGTCATTCCATCAGTCGTTATTTTATTTTTATCTGCACCATGATCCATTAGAAGTTTGACGATCCTAAGGTCTCTGTTGTTACATGCGCACATGAGTGGGCTGAAACCTTTCGATGTAACATTGTTGACATCAGCATGGTGTCGGATCAGAGTTTCTGCAATAGAACTATAAGATTTGAAGCAAGCCAAATTTAATGCAGTCCAGTTATCTTTTGTGTTTTGATTCACATTTGCCTTCTTCCGTAGCAATATGTTCACAGTGTCTAAATGGCCACCCTGTGTCGCTTTGAGGAGGGCGCTCCATCCCGATTTTGTGGCGTAGTCGACGTCGGCGCCGTTTTCTACTAAAACTCTAACAACGTCTTTCATTCCTTTCTCCGCCGCCGACATCAGGACGCTCACGCCTCTTGCATTTTTCTGATTGACGTCAGCTTTGTACGTCTCTATCAACAATTTGGCAATGTCCCAGTGATCGTCTGAACGTATGGACATCAGAGGCGACACTCCTTGCTCGTTGGTCGCGTTGACGTCGGCGAATTTCTGACAAAGTAGGTCCACCACGTCGCGTCTGCCCTCGGCTACAGCAACCATCAATGGTTTATCACCGCCAGGTTTCGATAGATTGACGTCAGCCTCATTTCGACACAAGAGGTCAATGAGCTCTAGGTGTCCACCTGAGACGGCCACGATCAAACCACTGTCTCCGTTTTCATCGGTGCTTTCGACATCGACACCCGTGTCAAGTAGTTCTTGAACACGCTGAAGGTGACCATTCTTCACAGCCTTCATCAATTCGATCGCGTAACCGGACATTGTCCAGGGATGGTCTTATTTAGATCAACACTTTCATTAAGACAATTGATGTCTGCTGATGATCTGAAGGTTATGATGAAGAATACTTACACAGTCTGGAAAAAAAAAAACAACACATTTTATAATTTAATAAAAGCAAATTTAACTTTTTCACATTTTTAAATGGCTGGTTTTGGCCTAAAACTTTTATAATAAATATATTTTATAAATATTTAATGGTTGGTTTTGGCCTAAAACATTAAGGATATATATACTATATATCCTTAATGTAAATAAAATAAATAGTAAAGTAAATATAAATATTCGAAAGGGTTAATTTAATTTAATGAATTCACGTTTTACCAAACTGTTACAGTGGAAAATTTATATTAATTGTTTTACCCCAACTGTAAAACCAACATATCTGATACTTTAATCTTTCTTTTTTTTTTTTCAGCTTTGAAGCCTACACGTCTGAGAACATATCTAAATCAAAGGCATTGTCTGACTTATTGACTTTCAACCTAATTACCTATAAAAACGAATAGAAAAGAATAAAAGAAAAATGAAAAAAAAAAAAATATGAAGTAATCGCAGGTCGCATGGCTTAAATTTTAATTTAAATTTTTTTTTTTTTTTTCAGCTTTGAAGCCTACACGTCTGAGAACTTATCTAAATCAAAGGCATTGTCTGACTTATTGACTTTCAACCTAATTACCTATAAAAACGAATAGAAAAGAATAAAAGAAAAATGAAAAAAAAAAAAAATATGTAGTAATCGCAGGTCGCAGGGCTTAAATTTTAACTTAAATAGGCCCTCTATACACCATATCTACGAGTTATAATTTTGGAAATAGTAAAAGTAAAAGCACATTAGTTTCGACTAATGTGTTCTTTCTAATATTTACTAAGTCTAATAACACTAACTGACAGTAAATTAATGTATGTAGGTTAGTATTATTTATAATTTATCTTAGTCTTAGTCTTATACTTATTACTAATGAATTAAATTAGAATGTTGTTTTTTTAAAGTATAGCTGAAACATGTTTTTGATGAAACTTAGCGTATTTCTTACATCTTCTACAATATATTTCAAATAATTCATAAATTATATCTTTAATATCATGGCGATTCAAACTTTGTATTAAACAACAAATGAAATGAAATACGTGGACGTGAATAATGAATGACTGCTCTATCTTATCTACACCTACTTTTGGGGGAATTTCCAATTTTATTTGTCCATAATTAAAGTTAAAGTATTTTTGTTCAAAAATTAAAATATTCTGCTTTTTATTAAAATAATCAAATACTTAATATTAAAGTGTATAAATTATCTAAATATTAAATATGATTGTTATTTATTATATAGGCCTATCATATATAATAAAAATATTATTTATATAATCATGACAAATTGTATAGATAGTATACTGTATACCGGTAGTATTTAATTTAATTTATATTATAAGACCACGATCACAAATTGTGACAAATGGTTGAAAGTTGGTATAATGAAAAATATTATTAACAATGTGTGCACTTATAATAATAATAATACAAATATGATTATAATTTGTAAAGATACAATTATTTTTTTACTAAAATGAATTAAAATTAAATGAAAATGTAATTCACCACACTAACTCATAAAATAAATATGGATCAATATTTTTTCCATCTAATAAGAAATTCTCCTCTAAAATTAATTATAAAATAATAAATAAAAATGAATATTAATAATGATAAATATCTCTAGGATCATTACTGCTAAGAGAGTAACTGAAAACGATAATCACATATCGGATATTCCCAATAAAACTTTTTTTTTGTGTATTTATAGTAATAAAGGGAGATAGCCCAATTGATAGAAAATATATTCATAAAAATGTTTCGCGAAATAATTCTAAAAGGGGGTGAGGGGAAGGTAATCCAATAAATTTATAGATTTTAATAATGACATTCTTACTACTACTCAAACTTTTCTTAACAAAAAGGACATAAAGGAAAAATGACCTCTATACTGGTTCATTTTTTTGTTGGCTTTTTTTTTTTTCCCATTAAGAGAGCATAAAAAAAATTTAAATAATAATACAATCCAACAATTTCACAGGATTCGATTTGCACATGTTTAAACAGAAAGAATCGGCCAATGTTGGCTACCTACGGGCCTCCATCTCCGGGGTGGAATTTAGAGCTTACTTCTCTTACATGAGCTTAACGAGTTACGTGGTAGGTGACATGGGGCCGGGGGGTGTACTTGGGAGGTGACACAGAGGATGTACTTGGGAGGTGACACGGGGGATGTACTTGGGAGGTGACAAGGGGGATGTACTTGGGAGGTGACACCAGGGGTGTACTTGGGAGGTGATACGGGGATGTACTTGGGAGGTGACACGGGGATGTACTTGGGAGGTGACATGGGGGTGTACTTGAGAGGTGACACGGGGGATGTACTTGGGAGGTGACACGGGGGGTGTACTTGGGAGGTGACATGGGGGATGTACTTGGGAGGTGACACCGGGGGTGTACTTGGGAGGTGACACTGGGGGTGTACTTGGGAGGTGATACGGGGGATGTACTTGGGAGGTGACTTGGGGGATGTACTTGGACTTGGGAGGTGACACAGGGAAGTACAGTTGCCTTTAGGATAACGTTGTCAACTTTGAGTGTCGTTTACACAATCGATACACCAGCCGGCAGAGTATTCTTCCTCTGCCTCTGAAACTGGAGTGGCTGCTAAATATGCTTGCACTACAGAAGAGTTGAAAGGCCAACCGCCATATACCTCATGCTTTTGATTACACCAACCATTCTTCCATTTAATTTGCACCAACTATTAATTGTTAGTTTAATTGTTCCAACCGTTTGTCTGTTTTAATTGCACCACGTATTTGTTCCTTTAATTGCATCAACCATTTGTCTGTTTAATTGTTCCAATCGTTCTCTCTTTTAATTGTATCAACAATTTGTCCGTTTAATTGCATCTACCATTTGTCCGTTTTAAGGTACCAACTCGTTTTACCAGCTGCTGGCCCTAAACTCTCTTTGGCAGGTGAGGTGTTGTTTTTGTTATCTCAAGCCTGTTATTCAAAGCCTGTGTCTTGCGTTGAAATAAAAGGGTTGAAAAAAAAAGAATGTTAATAACCCTGGACTTGGCTGCGATTGCCCTCAGTCTTAGAAGTGGGACCATTTGGTAATTGACTGCGATTGCACTTTGCTCTCTTGTCTTATATGTCTCTTTCCATAATTGTCTGCCATCATGTTTGTCGGGGCCACTGACCATGTGGTATTAGCATCCACTTTTAATGGGTGACATGACATGCTAATCTTTACATGAGCCATTTTTTTCATACACTTTAAAATAAATTAATGAAATTTAACAATTTCTTGATTTAAATTGAAAGTCATTTATTTCCAATTTCCTTTTTTAAAAAAAAAATACATAATTTTTTATAATAAGTTTACAACTGATACGTATTTTGATAAATTCAGCATTTCCACTACGTATGAAATTAGTGGATAATACGTTATGTCACCAAGACTATGATTTCTTGATGAGTTATACAAATAAATCTTTTGACCCATGTTTCTCTATTGTTGGTAAGTCCAAGCGACATTGATTTAATAACTAATACATGCCTAATACAAAACATGAAACAGGACTCTTACGTCACAGATGATGTGAGAGGAGGACATGACACATTTTCTGTTAATCTCTGTGCGATAAAACTGTGATCTCTCTCCAAAACAGTTAAAAATGTTTGAAATGCTGGCCCCGGTCCCGCATTTAAGAGTTTACTTAAAAGTATTTCATTTCTTTTCTTGCTACACTCAAGCTCAGCTATTTCCCTCTTATCACTCAAGTCAAAAATGTCCCCTTCAAACATGGCGGCAGCAATGTCCCTTGCATCTAAATGCTCTATCAAGAATTCCCAATTTTTCCTAATTTTGTCCTCATCCTCAGGCTTCATTTTCTCTGACTTTCCTTTCACAGTATTAATTTGTTCTGAAATTAAAAACAGTTCTGAATTGTTTTATGCATGAAGACAAGATTTGATGAATTATAATTGTTTAAAGAACTGGCTGCTCTTCTCATGTCATGTTAGAATTCATATTTACTTGTGAAGTGTCAAATTTTGTTAGTGTTTTAGGAAGTTAAGTTATCAAAGTAAGAAGTAATTCTTTAGTAAAACGGTATATAGATCATTTTTTGATTATTAACATAAGAATATGATTCAGGCTGAATTTTAAGCTACAGAAATATATTTAAATCTTGGGTTATATTGTTATGTTACAAAATGTTTTAGGTTTAAAATATGTATTTATTTATGTGCTGAAATGTATATGTCAAATGTAAATAAAAACCTCTCCATCTATTTGGAACAATACAAGAATCTTATCTTATATCGCTGTTCATACCAAACATTGAATTTTTTATTTACTGTGAATGAAGTATAGTTAAATTTTAAATATTTATATTTACTAATGTTTAGAAGGACAGAAAGAGATATAGTGGCATGAGACTGAAATATCCAGAAACAGAGTTAGAGAGAGACATAATAGCTTACTTTTTTGAAAAATTTGTGAAAATATCTACCTTTTTCCTGGACTACATTCGTGAAATTATTGGTCACACTATTTGACTGATGCAATACAAAGACACTGATAAAATAAAAACAAACAAATAATACATAAATAATCATTTTGTAATATTGTGTAATACATGTTTTATTGTAATGCCATAATTGATTTCCTGATAAATTATTAATGATTATTTTAAATCAGAAGTAAGTCCCCAATTTTGTCATAACAAAAAAATATTCAGAATCATTTATGGAAATGTAATGTCAGTAATAAAATTCATTAAATTAGTTTTTCCTATTTAAGCATACACTTGCATGCTGCATAGTCAAAATGTTAAAATGAGTGTCTTACTTAACAATGTGTGGGTGTGATATTATAGTTCCACTTTGGGAAGCGATCTGCATTTGACTTACACCTGTAACAAGTTGTTGCACAACAGCAGGAAGAACTCTGTAATTATTTAATAAAACAAAAATTTTGTTTAATGTCCATCTCAACGTGATGATGGTGTAAATTACAATGATACTATTAATAACTATATATAAACTCTATGTAAATTGTAGGCCATTGCTGTATCGAGACAAAATATTCCTAACGCCATTTTAATTTATGTAATTCTAATTTTATTTCACTCAATATCAGAACATAGAACATACAAATAAACATAAACCAGATTTTACTGTAGCCCTTGAAAAATCAAGCATGTGTAGAACATATTTGAAATTTTAGAATGACGCCTTGAATTTTTCATCTCAGGAAATACAGTTCTTACAAAATGTGTTTGAGTGTCTAACAACTTACCCTGCTGCTACATTGAAGTGTGCGTGATGTGCTACTTGTGGTATGAGAGCAACGCCTTGACCATCAATATTTATGGCTTGACCATTTATAGATACAGCCCCCTCACTGTGTTCCAAATTATTCACTATCAGCCTTTTATTTAAAGTCTCATCGGTGTCATCTTCTGTTTAAAAAAAAAAAACGGGCCAAATTTTATTTATCATACCATATTTTAACAATAAATTGAATATGAATTATTTTTGTCCTTGCTTTTAAAAAATAAAAAAGTATATCTGTATATATTTATATAAACTAATCATTGAAACTGTTACCTTTTTTTAGTTAAAAACCTATGATTTAGCATGGATATAAATCATTTATAATTATATTATATCATATCTTTCTCAAAATATTTAAACTTCAAGAATATACTTTAAAAAATAATTTAGACAATTAAAATAAGGCTGCGACTATTCGTACCCGGGTCATTTGTGGTAGTTTATTTTTAGTTAAACTGAAGAATTAAGTTTACAAATATATAGGCCTAGTCCAATCAATTATCTTTCATTACCTCATTTTGTCTTACAAACCCATTAATAAAATTTTAAATAGTTTTTTAATCCCAAGCTCTCACTTCTGGTACCGGGGTATGAATAGCCACTTCGTTGAAATAAAGAAATAAAAATTACGCTTAAAAATTTACAATTTTAAAAATTATTTTATTAAGTGAACTATTGTTTAGATTTTGTGTAATGTAGTAGAATTGTAAATATAATATTAATTTTAGTTGATTCTTCATTAGATAAAAGCAATTTGAAAGAGAAATCTGATAAATATACACATATATATATGTATAGTGGGGAATTTAAAATTAAAACATCGAGCACATTTCTACTGTTGTGTAAATTAAAAATAATGTTATTGTCGGTAATGATTTAATGTTATACTTTAATCTTTTTCTTAGGATAAAGCTTTTATTTTTTATTTAAAATTTAAAAAAAAAAACTTTTTTTTTTACTATTGTGTCTGTAATATTTAACTTTCATAGGTGTAATAGGTGACATTTAATACAAATTAAACATACAATTTCAAAGTCAATATTTTCTGTCTTACTTCTTTAATTGTTCGCAATGAATATTTCTCTAATTTATTTCATTTTAATCTGAAAAAAAAAATATTATAGTGTTTAAAATGAATTGTTTAAATAAAAGCTTACCTTTTTTGTCTATTTTTTGAATATCTAAAATTCCCTTAGTTCCTACAGAAATCCCATTTTCAACACCAGAGCCTCCCCTGCATCGGTCAGACAAACAGTTCAGAATGTTGTTGAAACCATTCTCAGATGCCAACATGGCAGCGGTTTTTCCATCGCTGTTGACTATATCAACATCAGCATTATTTAACATTAGGATTTTGACAATATCAAGAGTCCCATTTTGAGAAGCTAACATTGCAGCAGTCCATCTGTCCTGGTTCATGTGATTTACATCTGCCCCAGATTGCAAGAGACGTTCCACAATGTCTATGTGCCCACGGGCAGTTGCCATTAGCAAGGCACTATTTTCCAATTTATTCCCTTTATTAATTTCTGCCCCCTTTTTCAGAAGCTCCGAGACAATTGCTAAATGCCCACCATGTGACGCCATCATTAAGGCGTTCCAGCCATGATTATTGACAGCGTCAATCATGACGTCATCTCTACTGAGAAGTAGCTGAACCACTTTCAGGTTTCCAGCCTTGCATGCTGTCATCAAAACACTAGTTTTATTTTTACTTGTGATATTCACATCAATGCCAAAGTCTAACAGCATTTTAAAAATGTTCACTTTGCCTTCATCCCGAGCCGTTTGCATTAAAAGTTTATTATTATCCCCATCGAATGTTAACAAATATTCAACTTCTTCGTCTTCAGCCAAATTTGCCAGTTCTAAGGCTTTCATTCCATCATTTGTTATTTTATTTTTATTTGCACCATGATCAATTAGAAGTTTGACGATCCGAAGGTCTCTGTTGTTGCATGCGCACATAAGTGGACTGAAACCTTTTGAGTTGACAATATTGACATCAGCATGGTGTCTGATCAGAGTTTCTGCTATAGAACTATAATTTTTAAAACATGCCAAATTAAGTGCGGTCCAAGCATCTTTTGTCTTTTGATTCACGTTAGCATTGTTTTGTAGTAAAAAAGACACTATCTCTACATTACCCTTCTTTGTTGCTCTAAGGAGAGCATTCCATCCTGATTTTGTGGAGTAATCAACACATGCCCCCTTTTCTACTAAAACTTTAACAACACCAACAAAACCCTCATTCACAGCTCTTATCAACACACTTTCTCCATCGGTATTTGTATGATTGACATCTGCTCTGTATTTATCTATCAACAACTGAGCTATCTCAAATACTGCTCCTTTATCTAACCACATCAGAGGCGAAAGTCCCTTTAGATTTGTAGCATTAACATGGGCGGATCTCAGGCAAAATTCCTCGACAATATCCAGTCTTCCCTCACCTGCTGCCACCATTAGTGGAGTATCGCCCAATACAGATTTTTTGTTGACATTGGCTTTATTCTGACACAATAACCTAATAACGTCAATGTTCCCAGATCGTGCAGCCAACAATAAAACAGTTTCTCCATTATTATTTGTTGTGTTTATATCAACTCCAGAATCAATCATACTTTGAATCGATTCCAAGTCCCCTCTCTCTACAGCTGTAATCAACTTTGCACCATTTGATGGCGCATCCATTGTATTTCCTAAATTAAATGCGGTACTTCAGAAAGATGCTTTTAATTCTTTATGATAAGAGGATGAGAGATAAGACTAGACAGAAAGTCTAGATGACTCAACGGTGAACGGTTGAACCTGTTGGAAGTGCAAAGATTAAGACTGGATTATTATTATTATAAATAGTCTTATACAGGGCAGGACCCCAGCCTAGGTTTCATAAGGTGATACCAATCGATTTGATAATTTATGTATTCCAGCTAAAAATCATAATGAATTTTTTAATTTAAAAAATCTAGGCCTACAATTATGAATAAAAAAATTCAGCTGTTACATTCTCTGCTTTTTGCACACAAAAAAATATTTTTAAAAAAAATATAATAATCATTGTTATTAAGTTAAGTTTAACATCATTCAAATTAAGCAAATCCTGTGAATGTGGCCCGTTGAGCATGTGCCCCTCAACCTGATTAAATTGATTAATCTAATAAAAAAAATTATAACATAAAATTAAATAGGCTTACTTATCTTTCTTTGTATGAAGTACATAAAAAATGAACATATTAAATCATTTAAACCATTCTTAAAGCTTATTCCTTTGACTTCAAGATTTCATGAGTCATATATCATTATTTCAGAAATAAATTTAAATATTTTTTTTTTTAAGTGCAATTATGCCAACTTTCAGTTAAAGGCCTGAAACAAAATTTATTTAGGCCACTATTTATTTGTAAAACACATCCTAGCAAAATGACACATCTTTCAGGAGTAGTCTACTGACTCTAACTAGTCTAACTGAGTAGTTATTATCATCTAATTAGAAAATAATATAATAGTGGGAAACATGTTAATATTTACAATTTAGACTTTAGTAAGTTAAAGTTCACTTTACTCTTTACTTTGGCCTTGGCTAGGAATAAACTGCACACTAAACATTAAAAAGTAAAAGTACACACTAATATTATATTACTAATAAATGATATTGTCTAAATGACTAAATGGAAATGCAAATGCTGAAAAAAAACATGGATTCTTTGAATTTACCCTACTAAATCATGACTAATACTAATGCTAATACTAATGGAGTAACTGTACTGAGTACTGTCTGACCAATCATTTTAATTTTTGATTTTGAATCACAAACTTATTCTCCAGTCCACAGTCCATACTATTTTTATTAACAGCACAGGTAAACTTTAGGGCCAAAGCACATTCACTTTTGTTTTTTGTACTTTAACAATAGCCACTAATTACCAATTGACTTCCTATGCAGTATCTTGGAAGAAAGATTTCTAAAACAAGCACAATTTTCTTTTCTGTAGAGCGGCTATTGTTTTCTTCTGTTTTTCGGATATACCCCACTAGTAAATTTTGGTATCGCCTTTTCCCCGAAGCTAAATATAGCTGTTTCCTACTTAAATTAGTTCGGAGTAATAACTCTCGATATTATTTTTTAAAGTCTAATGAAAACTTCGCTCCCTTGAATGAACGGAAAATTTCCTAAAACCAATAAAAAAAAAAACAACACTAGTATTAATTTTATTTTTAAATTAATTATTACGAACATTATTATGAAAATCTAAAAAAAAATTACTAGATAAAAGACATGCCTTTGTTTTTCATTTTTTTAACTGTGACAACTTATACGTCTACGTAAGTGAAAAAGTTACAGTCGCAAGTTAAATTTAAATCAATTTGCATTTTTTTTAAATGGAAGGAATTGTTGAAAACTGAAAACATTTTTTTTTAAAAGTTTAATTAATATAAATAGCTATAAAACTTAAATAATTTCATGTAATTTATTCTTAAATATTGTATTGTTAAATTGAAAAGGGATTCTCTTTCTTCGACGCAGTTCTTTTTTTTTTTTTTTTTTTTTTTTTTTTTTTTAAAAATTTTTTTTAATTTTTTTTTTTTTTTTTTTTTAAATTTTTTTTTTTTTTTTTTATTTTTTTTTTTTTAAATTTTTTTTTTTTTTTTTTTTTTTTAAATTTTTTTTTTATTTTTTTTTTTTTTTTTTTTAATGGTTTTTTTTTTTTTGACGCAGTTCTTTTTTTTTTTTTTTCTTTCTTTTTTTTTTAAAAAGTTATATTAAATTTTAATGTCTTGTTATTTGAACATTTTATTTTAATGTTTTAATATTGTTATTTAAACATTTTATTTTAATGTTTTTATTTTAAAATTTTATTTTAATATTGTTATTTGAACATTCTATTTAATTGTCTTGTTATTGGAACATTTTATTTTAATGTCTTGATATTTAAACATTTTATTTTGATTTTTTGTTTCTTGAAAATTTTATTTTAAACATACATTTGTTCAATCAATTTAATAATCAGTTTAAGCCTACTATAACATCATTTATTGATACAATTTAAAAAACAAAACAAACAAATTTACGATTATGATTTTGAAAAAAATAAAAGTAGATATTTAGACTAGGCCCATCTCGCAGGCAGGGCTAGTTTAGTTTAATAAAAAGCATACATTTATATATATATATATGAATGGTTTGATTCTCCCTTCTTATCAAAAGCGTGTAGCAATCGATAGAAAATGATTAAATAATTCTCTAGCTATGTATGTATGCATGGCGGTAACGATGCGTTCAGTAGGCGCGGAAAATAAAATATCCGTTAACTGCGATAAACGATATTCTTAAAAAATACCGTAAGAGAGTTTGCTACGTAACATTTTGTATTGCGTGACAGAAATAGTCGCATTTTAAATATAATGTAATAAATCTACAATGTTAGAATCTCTAAGCAGTGGTGAAAATTCCCATATTAGGGCAGCACCCTCTCCAGGTAAGTAACAATAGATTATGAGATCAACAACCAAACAAAATTTTGGGATGATTTGGAAGGTTTTGCAAAAGTTTCTGATAGCGAAGGGGTCTCAGTCCGGTCACTAAGCTGATAATATTTTGGCATTCGTATAAATACTCCCCCTCTTTGCTAGCCAGACGTGAACAGTGTACAGCAGACATGCTAGACATCTAAAAAATATCCAGCTTCAAGGACCGTCTAAAAACTTCACTCAAATCCTTTGGCATCGACTTTAACTCGTGGGAAACGCTTAGAATGGATCGTACAAGCCTGCAAGGCAGACTCACTGTTGGAGCACTCGCCAGGCAGACAGACTGTAGGAGCACTCGCAAGGCAGACTCCCTGTTTGAGCACTCGCAAGGCAGACTCACTGTTGGAGCACTCGCAAGGCAGACTCACTGTTGGAGCACTCGCAAGGCAGACTCCCTGTTGGAGCACTCGCAAGGCAGACTCACTGTTGGAGCACTCGCCAGGCAGACAGACTGTTGGAGCACTCGCAAGGCAGACTCCCTGTTGGAGCACTCGCAAGGCAGACTCACTGTTGGAGCACTCGCAAGGCAGACTCACTGTTGGAGCACAATCCTCAGAGAATAAACACAACGCTTAAGCCCAAAAGAGCGCGCACGGCAAAGAAAAGCAGAATCGACACAAATCCAACGAGGATGCAAATAACGCGTGTCCAACATGCGGTGAATCTTTCGAGGAAAAAAACAGGACCGTCCGGCCACCTGCGTACTCACCGTTGGATATAGCCGCGGTCATCTTCGCATGCGAAGGACGAACAACACTATAGTTCAGGGGCGTGCAACTAAAGTGTGCAGAGGCGTTATACATAGGGGTGTGTGGGGCGGGGAGTTTGAAATGATTATGCTATTTTATATTAGGGGCTCTTTACATTTCTACAGCGCAGCATCCCCTCATGATGTCAAAATATTCCCCGCGCCCCATCTCGATTCTAAAACATATTTCACTCAAACCAACAAATACACAATTTTTAAAACATTTTTTTTTTCAGTTCCCGCACACCTGGCACTGGCTTTCCGCATCCCATGTGTGCGACACAACCGGTAAAGAAAGCCTGTTGAATATACTTGAAAGGTTCTTCGTGTCCAAATTTGTCATTGTTTATTTTTGAGCTTTCAGAACTTTCAGTTAACTTTAACTATTTTATAACATTCACGTTTCCTCACATCTTTAAAAATATACGGTTCACATTGCCACAATGCAATAAAGAGCAGTAAAATGTTTTGTGTTCTCATTAGATGTTAAGATCGATTCATTGTATTCGAATATACATTTTAAAGAAATTATTTCATACAAGGAATCGACTACAAGTTGTCTGTTCTCTGTCACAACTGTCAACTCCTACTGTTTTCTTGGATTGATTACATTCGTCAGTTCTTTCATACGTTGAAGCGTCGTACTATTCTAACTATCAATTAACAAACTCAACTCCTTTTCATAATAACTATAACTTTAATATCTAAGTAAATATAATAAACATCCTATCACTCCAAGGTTCCACTCAAGACTGCCGCACGACTACAACATACGTCACAACACTGCATAGACA